TTTTTTTTTTTTTTTTTTTAGTAACTGCTTCTTGGTCTATGTACAAGTTCCTTATGTGCACAATAAAATGTTCTGGAATACTGTTCATAGCAATGTTATTCACAGTTTGTTATGATCCACACAGTCTAACACATAAGTAAATAAAGCATAAGTAAACATCTTTCTGGTATTCTCTGCTTTCAGCTATGATCCATCTGACATCAGTAATGATATAGCTTGCTTCATGCCTTCTGAATCTGGCTTGAATTTCTGGCAGCTTCCTGTCAATGTACTGCTGTAACCGTTTATTAATTTTCTTTAGCAAAATTTTTCTTGCATGTGGTATTGATACGATTTAATTAACTCCGCATTCTGTTGGTTCATCTTTCATTGAAATGGGTAAAATATGGATTTCATTCCATCAGTTGGCTAGGTAGCTGTCTTCTAAATTTCTTGGCATAGACGAGCGAGTGATTTCCAGTGCTACATCAGTTTGTTGAAATATTTCAATTGGCATTCTGTCAATTGCTGGAGACTTGTTTTTTTTCCAATATCTTCAGTATAGTTTTGGTACCATCGGTTCTTGATCATATGCTACCTCTTGAAATGATGAACATCAAACAATTCTTTTTGGTACAGTAACTGTGTATTCCAACTTCCTTTGATGCTTCCTGCATCATTCAATATTTTGCCCATAGAATCCTTCAATGTTGCAAGTCAAGGCTTGAATTTTTTCTTCAATTCTTTCAGCATTGCTGAGAATTGCTGGACGTGTTCTTCATTTTTGGGTTTCTAACTCAAGTTTTTTGCACATTTCATTTTAAGACTTGACTTTTCTTCTCTAGCTGCTCTTTGGAATTTTCTGTCCAGCTCTTATTTCTTTTAGGTGCTTTAGCTTCTTTACGTTGCAGAGCAAGTTTCAGGATTTCTTCTGACATCCATTTTGGTCATTTTTTTCTTTCCTGTCTTTTTAATGAACTTTTGCTTTCTTCATAAATTATTTTTTTAATGTCATCCCATAAGTCTTCTGGTCTTTGATCATTAGTGTTTAATGCATCAAATCAGTTCTTAAGATGCTCTCTAAATATATGTGGGTTATACCTAAGGTCATATTTTGTCTCTTGTGGACTTGTTTTAATTTTCTTCAGCTTCATCCTAAACTTGCCTATGAGTGATTGGTGGTCTGTCCCACTGTCTGTCTCTGGCCTTGTTTTGGTTGATGCTATTGAGTTTCTCCATAGTCTCTTCCCAGAAATAAAGTAAATTTGACTTCTGTGTATTCCATCTATAGGATCCACATATGTAGTTGAAAAAGGGTGCTTGCAATAAAGAAGTCATTGTTCTTGCAAAATTCTATCATGTGATTTCCAGCATCTACCCCTTATTCATTTGTATGCCTTTGGTGGAAGTTAACATACTCTATTGAGCCTTAATTTATGCATCTCTAAGGTGGACAGCTTAACACCTAGCTCACAAGATTGCTAAATTTAAGTTAAATTACAAATGTGAACGTGTTTACTTAGCATAGCTAGTATGTAATCTTCAGTCAGAAAATGTTAGTTACTATCATAAATCTGGTTCTATGTTCACAGCTCTTTCTGCCTCATATGGATACGTTTCAAAGGCATTTCTCCTTTCTAGGGCAGTATGCTACAAGATATACAAGTGCTCATGTATTCTTTGCCTTGAGCAGTTTCCCAGGATTAGCTGGCGCTAAACTCATTTGTATAGCTGAAATTAATTTAACATAAAGGTAATGGAGTCATGGTGTGGCTCTGTGGATTTATGTGCTGGACTGCCAAGTTGTTTTGAACTGCAAAGTCAGTGCTTCAAGCTCACTAGCCGCTCTTTAGAAACCCTATACAGGGTTGCTGTGGGTTGGAACTGACTCGATGGCACTTAACAATAACAACAACAAATGTAATATATGTTGCTATTAAAGAGCTGACGGTTTTAATGTTAACACTGAAAAAGTCCTCATGGCACTGAATTCTTCAGGGTGACAATTCTTGCATGATTTATCTAGAACAAGTAACATCAAGACATTTATACTCACGATGGGAAAATAATGCATGAAAATCTCAAAAGTAAAAATAAAATCAAGTCAGGCAGTTTTACTTACGTATTCTCTGGTTCTGCATTAATTTTGTAAATTTGTTACAGAAATTATCATAGAGTATTCACTTAGACTCTAGAGGCCTCCTGGTGGCAGTTATATTTATTCTTTTTTTGTTTCATTTCTCTCCCTCAAGATTAATTAAATTTAGCTATATAGATGTGTCTCTTGCAATTACCTTTCATCTTTTCCAGCATTTTCACCACATTTCTTCTTTTCCATAATTTTCATTGCAGTTTTTATAATTTCTTGCTTTATCTAAATGGGAAAAGTTGAAAAAATAATGTAAAATCCTTCCTTTCTTAGCACAAAGTGTTTATTTTCTATATTTAAAATTGACTACACATTTTCATTGACAATATTCTGTTTGCTTGATCCTTGGCCTGACATTTAATTTCAGAATTTTGTTTTCCTATTCATAGATGCAAGAATGTCAAAGCCAGTGGACTTTCAGAAATTCAGCGCCTTCACAGTACTGATAAGGAAACAGCATCTCCAATGCCTAACAGCTAGTAGTGATCAACAAGACAACAATCCCAATCAAGGGGAAAGATCACAATTGTAGGTAAAGCCCACATAGCCACATAGTGTCTCTGTAATCTTTATATAACAGACCTAGTATTGGCTGTTTTCAATATAACTAAGTAAGTCAAAGAACTGTATTACCCCAATAACTTAATTTTAAAAAACCTTACTTCTATCTTAATCAGATATTTCAGATGAATGTTAGTATTTATTTCAAGAATTAATTGAAATCCCTTCCTCTATATTTACTTTATATATGTTAACAGAAGTTTCACCTAAATGTAGTAAATGAAAGAATATAATTCAAATAATCCATTCAAATGTTAATTAGTCCAGTGCATCCAAATATAGCTAGCTCCCGTTCGTTCAGTGGCTCAGTTGTTTTTACATCAAGTCCTCACCATAGTTATAGTTTGCAGGTGAGGTGGATTTGGTATTGTGTCCTACAAATATTCTAATAGCAGCAAAGTACTCCATATAGCCAGCAAACAGTTAAAAGCACAATAACACATGAAACTATCCTGAAAAGCTATCTGCACATGACTAAACATGCCACACTTTTCTTTCACTTCCGTGCCTTTACACACTGTTTCCTCCTTTTCTGCTTTGCTGATTTCTGGAAGCCTTCACGTCTCAACTTAAACACCATGTCTTCTATGAAGCCTTCCCAGATGATTTGGGATCCCCTTACCTACACTGCTATAGCACCTTGGGCATATGTCTTTGTGAGTATTTATGGTGTTTTAATTATTTATGTATTTATTACTAGAAGTAATGACTATTTCTCAAAGTACATAGCACATTTCTGACATTTAATAAGAGTGCAATAAGTGTTCATCGAATAAATGAAATACTACAAAGAAATAGAGCAAGAAGAGGACAAGGAAAAATATCCACTGCATGTGACCAGAAGTAATAATACAAAAAACTTCTGACAGAAATATTTAGTAGAATGGTAGGAAGTGAAACCAGATTCAAGACACAATGTCAGATAAAATGCCTATGAGGGTTTTACTTTATCTAGAAATCACTGAGCAATCGTGTTCTTATTTAGTGAGTATTCATATTTGCCCCATTCCCCGATAGTGATTTGTTTTGCACTAAAGATCTGTGCACCTATCTGTTTGACTATCTATCTAGGAGTCCCAGAGTGTTGCAAAGGGTTAAGCCCTTGACTACTAGATGTTAGAACCCACCCAGAGGCACCTTGGGAGACAGGGCTTCTGAAAGGTCACAGCCTTGGAAACTCTTACGGAGCAGTTCTACTCTGTACATATCGGGTCACCATGAGTCAAAAGTGACTTGATGGCAACTAACATCTCTCTCTTTCTTTCTCTATGTATCTATGGAGCTCTGGTGGTATAATGGTTAAGTGTTCAGTTGCTAATCAAAAAGATTGGTTAGACCTGGCAAACTGCTCTTGTAAAAATTATTGTTGTTGTTCAGTGCCTTCAAGTTGGTTCATAATCATGGCGACCCTGTTTCTGAGAAGCAGCTGGTGAGTTTGCACTGCTAACCTTGCAGTTAGCAGTTAGCATTCCAGTTCTTATCCTACAGTGCCACACCAGGATTCCTAGGAAACTATGGCAATGTTACACTCTGTTGTTTAGAGTTGTCATGAATTGCAATTGACTGGATGGTGCACACGGCACACATGAATCCACCTGAACTATGTAAAATGAATTAGAATGTATGAACTTGAAAAAAAGCTTGCATTGTAGAAAGTTAATTTTGTCAACATAGCCATAATGAGCATTTGATGATCACAATGAATAGTTCAATACAACCATCATCACAAGAATGATCAAACAGTAAGAGCTTCAATTTATAGAATACTTATTATCATCTAGACTCTTATCTAAAATGTTGACATTGTGTTTCATTTAATCATCACAGGAACATACGAGGTAAATATTATTCCCATTTTATAGTTGAGAAAACAGGGTACCAATTAGTTACTCGGAATTAATTAGGATGGGTACTAATGGAGGGGAAGAGGAAATCTTTTGTAAGCAGTTGCACTGTTGTTAGGAGCACTCAAGTTGATTCTGACTCCTAGTGACTCCTAGTGACTCAACAGAATGAAACAATTAGCTCCCGTAGACATGTATGGCAAGACATGTGGCTTCTTACAAATAGGCTTTAAAATGTATTAAAGTAGTCATCAATTTAAGTAGATGCCAGAACTAGAAGAAACAAAGGCTGCAAAGGGAAAACATATTCTAATGAAAACTATGTATAAAGTCAAATCGATTCTGAGCTATAAAGTTGGAAGGGCTGACACTTACCCTTAAGCTCCTGTTCATTTGATTTTGCGCCACCTGTGTCCATAAATAGTCATTCCTTTTTCTGGTTACAAAGGACCTATTACTAATCATAAGAGAGACAATTTTAAAAGCAATGCTTGACTTTGAAAGGAATTGTTATTGAAGATTTATGTCTATAAGTCATATTCTTTCATTATGAATAATTGAACATCTGATTTAAGGCCAGACATTAGATGCAATTAAAATTAAGAACAGTGCAAAGCCTTTCTAGTACTCTTGCAAAATGGATTCTCAGATTAGGTGTTAATTACTGCATGACTTGACAGCACCTAATAACAACATTGGAGTCCTGGTGTGGTGCTGTGGGTTAATGTGCCAGATCTCAAAGCTGTTTGAACTGTAAGGTTAGTGGTTCAAGCTCACCAGTTGCTCCTCGGAAACACTATACAGGTTCGCTATGGGTCGGAATTGACTTGACGTCACTTAACAACATTAATATAACTAAAAACCAGTTGCCATCAAATCGATTCCAATTCAAGATGACTCCATGTTTACATGGAGCCCTGGTTGGAACCGACTCAGTGACACCTAACAACAGCCATGTGTACAGGTTAGAGTAGAATTATGCTCCAGAGGGGTTACCAACAGCTGGCTTTGTGGGTGGAGTTCACTAAGCATTTCTTCTGAGTCAGCCAAATTTGTTGAAAATGTTTGAACAACCCATTGTTGTTGTTGTTGTTGTTAAGTGCCGTTGAGTCGCTTCTGACTCATAGCTATCCTGTATAGGGTTTCCAAGGAAAGGCTGGTGAGTTTGAACCACCAACCTTGTGGTGTTCAAAATGACTTTATGGTCAAGGGCTTATCCTACGGCACCACATAGACTCCACTTAAAGACATGGTTGGGCTGTTTTCTACTTCTGAAAGGCCAGTCACTGAAAGTCTTTATGGAGCGCAGTTGTACTCTGAAACACATGGGGTCATCATGAGTTGGAATGCACTCTAAAGCAACTAGTTTGCTTTTTTTATTCGGTTGTTTGTTAGATTAAATAGCCTATTATGCTGAAAGTTCCAAAGGGAATGAGATGCTGAGTGAAAATATTCAGATTATGGAGAAGACTCAGTAGAAAAACCTGAGCTTTGTCAGGGAAGTCAGGCCTAGATAGAACAACTTAATGGGGTACCTTGGGAGACTGGATGATAGAGGGCATTGGCAAGTTGTAAAAATAACATTAATGTCATTTACATATTGTCTTCATTCAATCAATAGCGTCTTATACAATTTCTATTACAACAAACCAATTAAAACATAGATATAGAAAGGATGTGTTCACATTTCTACATTGCTCAACATAGGTACTAATGATTAATTATTAATTGTATTTTACCTGTCTGTTTCAGACTCAGTACTGGATGATGCTTTGAATCTTTTTATTGGTGAGTATCTTCGATAGTTTTCCAAATGACCATGAGATCGCTTTAAATAGCTATGAGAGCTTGATGAGTAGACAGGAGATCTCTCCGAGTAGACAGGAGATCTCCCCGAGTAGACACGAGATCTCTCTGAGTAGACAGGAGATCTCCC